ATTTAATTGTGACTGAATAGTACAGATGCATTTAAGTGTATAAAATTTCAGAAATATCACTCGGTAAATTATTACAAAGAAATATGAATCTGAAATGGGCATCAAGGCCTCCCAATACCCCGAAGATAATTATAATTATATCGACATAAAACTAAGATTGTTGAGTATTCCTCAACTCCCATAACTTTTTGTACTTTCTTTTTAATAAGAAATTATGCCTTAAGTCAATTCCGTATGAAGTTGGTTCAGTTGAATGGGAATGAAATATTCATTCAGTAATTAATACCCCATTATGTCGTACGTATTGCATGAATATATAAAAATACTCTTATAAAATCTCCTTCGTAAGTAAAAACATCGAGTCGTGTTGCATTCATCAAATTACGTCCCCTGAGTTACCGTTAAACCAAGAGAATAATTCAATGATACGATGGGCTTTGATAATCTGTAGAACAGGTACAGAGTAGAATGGCTCAGTTGGCAGCATCACAAGCGTCGATCCAGTCGTTGTACACGTCCAGGGGGTCCGAGAGTATGTTCACTGATGTTTGATAGTCTTCTAGGCACACTCGACATGATATCCGAGCAGTTTTGCGTGGCTTGTCCCTAGAAGAACGAGAGTAGGTGCACATGACATTGAGGAAGTTTCATAAATTATTGCTTAACACATTTTTTTCAGGAGGAATGAGCAATTCTTGTATTCTAATTTAGTAGCGAAGTGGTAAAACGGTTCAATTCGATTTAAACTATTGTTAATGAATATCTCGGAACCTAAGGCAGATATCAAATTTTTTGTCAATACCTTTTTACAGAGCGAATTAAGAGCTACGAAAAAGGTTATAATGAAAATTTCTCTATTTCTCATAGATTCAGAGATATTTTTCGATAACTCGGCGAAGAGGTAAGTCGACTTAAACCGGTTTCCCGCTTCACTACTGATTTTATCTATTGAATTTTCTATTAGTTTTTGGCCGATTCTATTGAAATATTCAATTAAAAAAGTCAATGGAATTCGATTCTTCTATGTAACTTATTCTCTTCAGATATTTTCAATAGAATTTCCTCGGCTTTCATTCTATTTTTCTTTTCTTGTCATCAGGAAAATCAAACGAAGGAATTTAGAAAATTTGAGCCGAGGAAATTCTATAGAAAATATCTCAGTACACTAAGTCATATAGAAAAATCGAATTCTATTAACTTTTTCTGTAGATTAAATTCATTCTACAGAACATATTGATATTGTTTAATATTAATAATATGAATATTGTTAATATTCTTAATATTGTTGTTATTTTTAACATTGTTTCATTTTCTATTGAACATTTCAATAAAAGCGACCAAAAACTCGTAGTAACTTCATCAGAATTATCTAGCGAATTCGCATGAAGCTGAAACTGGCGAAAGATTAGACAGCAGAAGTTTTATTTAAGCGGATCTAGGGGTGTACAAATGTTTTTAGGTAATGTACAAACTCTTTCGCACTTAAGAAAAATTTGTCCATACGATTATTTGACTTTCTTACACTTAAATGGGGGAGGATGGGGTAAAATGGACACTTTAGACTTTTTTTGAGTTATTCATAGCTCAGAAACAAATTTATCAATTGAGCTCAGTTTAGGCTCGTCACAAAGAGAAAGAGTTGTTCTTTTGTATTGAAAAAAAATTGAATTTTATCAACATTTCAACCTCTCATTGACATTTAAAAAAAAGTCAAAAGTGTCCGTTTTACCCCAACCTCCCCTATCCCTTAAATTGAATTTTCCGCCGACTAATATTCTGCTAGTTTCAGTGTTATCGAATTCGCTAGGTTTTTTTATTAATTTTTTCTTGCGTGTCCCAATGGCGGGAGTTCGCTGTCAAACCAGTTCGCATATTTGCATTATAATTTGCGTTATTTTTCAATAGAGTACAGATCTCTTATTTATTTCAGCCACAATCGCATAGAGTAAAGGACATTTCTAGCTGAGGATGATATTTTTCGTGATGACTCCAGACTGAGCTCATTTGATAAATTTATTCTTTAGTTATGAATCTTCAAAAAATAGAAAAAAATGCCCATTTTCCCCACCCTTTTCTAACCGTCTCAATTTAAAAAATTTCACTCACATTTTCACCTCGCATGACTTTTCATGATTACAAAATGGACACGTGAACTGTGTCTCCAGTGGTTGAATCGTCTTTTTACGAGTTGGAGCTTGTCTCTTGCTCTTCTTGC